GATAAGAAACTTGTGAAAGCCTTTCAGGAAGATTTAAATCTTAGAAAATATCACAAAGTTTATGTTAAAATAAAATTTTGCAAATGTAATTGTGTAAAGAAGCTTTTTTTTTTCTCTCTGTTTTTTTTTTTTTTTTTTTTTGTTTAATGTGTGTGGTTGCTTTGCCTGCTTGTATTACTGTACAGTACATGTATGCCTGTTGCTTGTGGGTGTCAGATGACGGCATCACATCCCCCGATGCTGTAGCTACAGACAATTGTGCACACACATGTGTGTTGGGAAATGAACCCTGGTCCTCTAATGTTGTACCCGTTTTTGAAACACCCAGAGACCACCAAGGAGCCAGTTTCCAATGCAAACACATAAGGGTTCTTTTATTGTCAGATTCAACCTTAGCCATCAAATGGCAGATGGAAGGAAATGTGGCAGCGGTGGTGAGCCCAGGTGTAGAAAGTTTTTAATAGGGGAAAACTGCAAGCTGGGATGGGCAACTTGGGATTGGGTAGAAATATTATGGGGCAAGGTAATTTTTTTTGAAACTATTGTTCTAGACTTTGGGTGTGAAACCACATTTGAAACCACTGGGTTAGACTTTTGGCAGGGAACTACAACCTGCTGAACAGAATTATCTAGATTGCTCAGCAGGATTATCTAGATAGCTTCCAGGGCCATCAACCACAGACAGAATGTCCACAGGAGCATACTGTTCTGTATCGGTTGGAGTTGTCATGGCACATTCCTGAGGTCCTTCCTGGAACTGAGCACAGCTGGTGGTCTAAGATGGTGGCCCTTTCCGTAAGATGGGGTCTCTATTGCCTTCACACTAGAAGAGAGGCCAGTGCTACTAACCAGCAGGCCAATGCTTCAGCCCCTGGGAAATGCTGTAATAAGAACATTTATCTTGTTCAGCATCCAAAAATTCATAATACTGCCAGGTATGGTGCATGCCCTCAATCCATGCACTCTGGAGGTAGAGGCAGGTGGAACTCTGTGAGTTTAAGGCCAGCCTTATCTACAGACCAAATTCCAGAATAGCCAGCGCTACACAAAGAATTCCCCAAAATCTTCTAAAACCAACCAAAACCCTGGGAAAAAGAAGGAGAGAGGGGTTGGGGATTTAGCTCAGTGGTAGAGTGCTTGCCTAGCAAAAGCAAGGTCCTGGGTTCGGTCCTCAGCTCCAAAGAGAAAGAGAGAGAGGGAGGAAGGGTGGAGGGGAGGGGAGGGAAGGGAAGAAAGAAAAAAAAAAGAAAAAAGAAATCCTTGAAAGTATGTGTGAATTCATTTTGAAGTACTGAGAAAAGTATGTGGAAGTATTTACTCCAAACTAAATAAAAATGGTACTGTTCCCATTAACTGCCAGTAGACCTTTAAGAAGGGAAGGACTCTTGGGACTCTGCCTCAGCCATGATGAAATGGCAATTATCCAATCTTACATGGTTGCTATTGTCAGCACTGTACTACCCATTACCAACTACAAGAGGATGCTTCTTTCACCAAGGCTGATAGTATAAATTGATAATTATAAACATGAATATTTAGATGGCAGATAACAAGATCATGTACAAAACATCTATAGGTTCTGCCTTTGGATTTTTAATTCCCAAGCCATGTTTTTTGACCCTGTTACAGTACTAGGCATGAATTCCCCTCTATGGAGCAAGCCTCAAATCCAGTCAGGAGAGAGGTTGGTGATGCCCATAAGCAGTGATGCCAGTGTTGCAGCAGTGCACACATCCTGGCTGGTCGGTTGGTATTGTAGGATGCAGGGTCCAGGGGTAGATAAGACCACTGACATCTTTTCTTGCAGGCCTGTGAAACCTGGCCAGCAGGACATCCCTGGTAAGTTCTAGATTGCTCTAGATTGCGCTCTCTCTCTCTCTCTCTCTCTCTCTCTCTCTCTCTCTCTCTCTCTCTCATACAACCAAAGTATTTGGTGTCTTCAGCTACACCCTGTACTTATGGTGGCCAAGTAAAAGCACTGGCAATGACCTGTTTTGTTTGGGATGCCTCTGGGGCCTCCCTGACCAGGAAGGCCTAGGCAGATAACCAGTACCTGGTACAGTGAGTTCTGTTAAATACCCATGGTGTCTGGAAGCAGCATTATTTACCCACATAGGACACCTGTGTTCAAAGTTTTAAAAAAATATATTTCCTATTAACTTGTAAGACAGTGGGATTTCATAAGTTTCTGATGTCCTTCCTCTTGGTTGACCATCCCATTCTTCCTTTTTTCTTCCTGTTCCATGCCCAGTTAAACATTTAGTATACATTACCCAATGCTCACTATTTTATACCACAAGTGTTCTACTATCCTCTATTGTTATATTATTTACTTGGGTTTCCAAATGATAGTTTCCCATGTAGTTTCTTCATGGACATCTCTCTTGAGTTTACCTTTCAGCAGGCTCTCTCTTACCATCACTCTGTGGTGATATATTGTGTACCCTAATAAAATTTGCATGATGATCAGAGAACAGAACAAGCTACTAGATTAAACATAGAGGCCAGGCAGTGGTGGCACACACCTTTAATCCTAGCACTCAGGAGTCAGAGATCTGTCTAGATCTCTGTGCGTTCAAAGCCCCCCTGGAATTCATGAGATTGATTCAGTCTAGGAGAGAAACACAGCCAGGTAGGGAGTCACACATCTTCAATCCCAGTACTTGGATAACACATGCCTTGAATCCCATCACTAGGAAGGAAGTAATATGGCTGGGAGAGAAAGGTATATAAGGCATGAGGAGACAGGAACTAAGTCTGTTTTCAGCTGGAGGCCTTTTCGGCTGGACCCCTTTGGGCTGATGACTCAGAGACAGTCAGAGGATTCATGGAGTTGGTGAGGTTAGAAGTATCTGTGGCTTGTTCCTTTGTCTCTCTGATCTGTCAGTATTCACTGCAAATCTGGCTCTGGGTTTTTTTTTTAATTGTTAGACCATTTAAGATTTGAGCAACACCACTCCACTACATACTTGAACCATTCTGCCCCCAGAATACCCACTCTCTAATTTCATATCACCTATAGTCTACTATCCACCCTCTCTTCCTGCTTCCTGGCCTCTACATTTAGTCTTACTTGAACACAAAACAAAAAGGAGTGGTTACTGTGTATCAGCTATCTCTGATATTCAACCCTTTCATCTTGGAGCAAGCCCCTCAAAAGTCAGGCTATTAAAAGAAAGGTAAAGGAATGGGATGCTCTAGTCAGAGGTGAAATATTTCATCTTGCAGAGAAGGTTTCAAAGCTTAGAAGTAGACAATAGCTTCAGGAAGCCACAGAAACTGGCAAGATTATATATGCCTCAAGCATGCATAATCAGTAAGGACTGCTGACACTGTCAGACAAGCTGACCTGCAGAGAAGATGCTCAGACCAGCCATGAAGCAGACACAGTCAAGCTGCCTGGACCAGACAAGACAAGATAAGCTGCCTGGAGGAGGTAGTGAGTGGCTTGAAAGACACTTCCAATATCCCTTGAGCTGCCTGCAAGCTGTGCAGTGATCCCCAGGTTTCCAGCATCATTAGCCATCACCCTCACAAGGTGATGCAGCTGTCATTGAGTCCTTGCTTTGTAACTAACCTTTCACACACTCTCTTTTTTTTTTTTTTTTTTTTTT